ATCTGCAATGGGCCCAAAAATTATTGCAATTTTACCGTACATTAAGCAGGTTAATTTTTTTCCTGTATTCTAAGGGCAGATAATTTGAGCCGTCGTGGTACCATTGTTATGTGACTTTTTTTTTCAGGAAATTCCAGTAATGATTGTGTTCCGTGCGCTGGGGTTTGTTTCGGATCATGACATTTTGGAACACATAATTTACGACTTCGAAGATTCAGAAATGATGGAAATGGTGAAGCCGAGTTTGGACGAAGCTTTTGTCATACAGGTTTATCCTTTTTGTATTGTTTATGAAGCTAGCCAAAGAAACAAGCCGTTTTTAAATTGCCTTTCAAAAATAATTTTAGGGATGGAGCCTTTGACAGCTTTATCAGATGGTGTTTGCTGGCAAAAAAATTAGAGCTATTTTCGGGTGCCTCTGTTTTTCATTAAGTTTGAAATACAGTGAAATTTTTGACTATGAACTAAAACGCGTTCATAATTTGAAAAGCTTGGCATGGCTGAGCCCGGCAGTTAAGAGCATCCCAACAATTCCACTGGCTTTCGCATTGCTTGCCCTGACGACCCCGTATTTTTGATAAGTTTATAATTAAACTGCACAAATTAGTAAAGCTGATATTTTTGACTAGGCAAGGGGTAGTAGTGGTTGCCCCAAAAGTACTATATATACGAGAGAAGGATACTTGAAGCGTCTCGTTGTTCATGCAAACAGTCAGACATTTTCGGAAAGAAAGCTTAGGCATTCCTCTTCATCTGAGTGATATTACATCGAATATCCTCACCGACTGCCAGTGCTATGATCCTGGTCGCTGACAGGAAGCGATGTGACACAGAATGTATTTCGATTTATTAATTTGTTTGCGCCGTTTAATTGATTATTCGAATTTGCACAGTTGTCGTTTTAGCGTAGGATTTTAGCATTATTTTTATTTTGGGCTATTTTTACAGGAGCAAAATGTTGCACTGAATTTTATTGGCGCACGTGGCGCAAAGCCTGGCGTAACAAAAGAGCAGCGTATCAAGTATGCCAAGGAAATTCTGCAAAAAGAAATGCTCCCTCATGTTGGCATCTCGGACTTTTGCGAGACCAAGAAAGCGGTTGGTGCCAGCTCAGATTTGATATTTTAATCAGCTATTATCTCTTCGTGGCACCAACACAACTTTATTCAGCAACTGTTGTTTTGCCCAAGACTGCGTCATCCGATCGCTGCGCCGATCATGTTATTGGTGGGGATGATCGTGTCCTGGCGTCCTTTCTTTAAATTCGCCGGAGAGGAGTATTGGATTTAACTGAGCCTCGTTTCACTGCTCATGCGTTCCTTCTACCCTTTGCTAATAGTCTTTCGAGCGATTTTGTAACAGGCACCAGCGGTGGGTGCGTCTTCTGATAGCTTTGGCGCCCGGCTGCGAGACAGCTGGACTCACATCTTGGAATGATCATGCGGGCCTAGTCATTTTTTGGGGGCGTAGTTGAATACAGAAGGGATTGACACTGCTGCGCACAGGGGAATGCCCTGCTGATCTTGATCCAGTAAGCGTGAAGTTTTTATAGCGATGAATTGGGGTTATCGAGCAGTTGTATTTTTTACTTGCAGTACTTCCTTGGCTATATGGTTCACAGACTGCTACTGGCAGCACTTGGACGCCGAGAGTTGGATGACCGTGATCACATGGGCAACAAACGACTCGATCTGGCTGGACCGTTGCTGGCCTTCTTATTTCGAGCGCTTTTTAGGAATTTGTTGAAAGAGGTGAGTGAAATTATTTTACAAAAAGCTTTTAGAGTTGGCCGCGAAAGTATGCTGTCTTCTTCAGTAGCATCGTAAACCAATGGCTATTTTCTTAGCCATACGTTTAATGAATAAATTTATCGTATAGTATTGTAATTCATTGTTAAAACTGAGATAATAGAGAGAATTTAGTACTGGAGTATTGGCAT